AAGATCCGTGACCTTTATCAAGTTCACGCTTCACCACTTCTTGTTGCAGTATCAAACAATTTTGACTCGTGAGTGACAAGATGCAAAACATAAAACGATGGGGCGAATTTCTCGGTGATTTTCCGAATCAAAGACAAGAGGGTGCGAACTTAAGGATTACTTGCTTCTCTGTTTATTATTCGAACATCGTCGGTATCCCTTATTCTCATGATAGACCAAATAAAGCCTATCAAGACTTACGGTAATATATTACTGTAATTTTTTACGTAGACGCATACTGGAAAAAATTAAAGATAGAAAGCATGCTTCATTATTTTCTTGATTTTGATATCAATCATAATTGTGTCCAGTTTTTTTTACGTTGTACAGAGAGGTTTTCTACTATATAACACTGTTATACACGGGGATTCAGTAACGAATTATTCATTTTCTGCTAAATGTGATCTAAATGATGATTTTACCATTTTTTTTTACCTAACTAATACTATTAATTCGTATTTATATAAGACCAAGCGCCCGCGTAGCGGGCGCCACGAACGCTAGTACGCAGGTACATAAAATTGAATAGCGGGTCAGAGAAACTCTATTTATATTAAGTTAACTATAGAGTCTTGATTTTTCTGTAGGCTTCTGCCTTTAGGAAACGGTGCATGGTGGGCTAGTTATTCTCACACAACGCCACGTCTGCTGCTTGTGGGCTTGAAGCCCAATTTCTGGGGAGCTATATGCTCAAATTGTTGGTATCTTGGTGGCAATATCTTGAACGCGGAGGTCGCCAGTTCGTTGCGCTTTAGTAGTGGTCTTATATAATCACCAGGCCCAGCACGCTGCGGCAGTACGATGGTCTTAATCGTAATCGTTGAGCACGTTGTCACTTCCGTGCTTGACACTAGAGCTCTTTTTCGGCCCCAGGTGGAGGGAGTTCACGTCCTAGAAGATCCTCCGAAGAGGCGCAGCCCTGAGTCACTTACGCACAATCGCGAAGTGTAATAAATTTGAATAATCAGTCTGGCGATAATCAGGGTTGGATCCAAGATAACATCGGAGATAAACTAAGAAAAAATCATTCCATGTTCCGTTAATAAAAACTAATGCTGGTAAACACTCAACGAGCCACAACAGCGGCAGTCGGAAATGCATCATTTATTTTCTACTCTCACTTCGCAATTTTCGTTCTCTCGCGCAACCTCCCAACCATTCAGCTTCCTAATGCGTCTAACTATCGTCTTTGTGTTGATCGCGGCAACCTTCCTCGCGGCCAGTGATGCTACCGTGGTTGACCAACTCTTTTTGAGGACCAACCACGTCTACCGTACGACTACTGCTGCGGATGTCGAAGAGAGAACTATCCCTGACGATGCCTTGATGGCGTTGGTTAGCCGTTTTAACCTGGACTGGAAAGCATTCAAGGTCAATG